GCGGGGCGGAGCCGAAGGAGCGGGCAGTCTTGGACGGGGAGGGAAGGAGAGCGGCTGCGGGCTGGAAAGTGGCCCTCCCCTTTTCTCTGCTACTGCTGCTGCTGCCTCTCTGGGGCCCCCCGAAAGTGTGCGGAGGAGAGGAGAGGGGCGTCCTCTGCATCCCGGGAATGGCTGCCTGCCCTGCCCTGCCCTGCCTGTGGAGGAAGGATGTCGGGGTGCTGGTGTCGGAGAGTCGCCCTCCGAGGCTTCCTCCCTGGGTTGCCCTCCCTTCCTCTTTGGACCACTTAGAGGGGGTTCTGAGAACTGGGGTACGGCTGGGTGCCGGCGATGGTTTTGCGGAGGAGGCGGATGCAGAAGCGAAGCGCCGAACTGCCGCTCTTGTCAGAAAGGGGGTGTGGAGGCAGCTCTTGCCCGAGGTGGAAGTTGCCTCGGGCCTCAGGTTTTCAGCCCTGTTCGGGGAATAAAGGACGCTTGTGGGTGGTTAAGACCCAGGTGCTAACTCTGCATTCTAGCGCAAAGGAAATGTCCTGATCGGGGGTAACTTCAGCCCCTTTTGTGTGGAGAGAAATGTGTTTTATTAAAGGGGTTAATGTGGACCAGAGGTGCGTGTGGTAGGGAAGCATATGGACAGCCATGTAAACCAATTATACAGTATATCGATGTGTCTGTGTTTACAATACTGTTTTATTCTGGTGAGCTGGAAATGACTGACTTGTGCTTCTTAATATAAGACACTTTAGCAACTTCAAGTTTAAAATACTTGAATCTTTACTACTGGAGTCTGCAATGTTTTTAACATTGTAATGGGGCAGTTTCTACAAAAGCTGTGAACAGTGAACTTGAAGTTCACTGCTATCTAAAGTCAGGATGCAGCTGTGTTAGAGAGGATGTAAATGCTTTAAATCTTTGCTTTTTTATTCAAAAGTAAGGCCTACTGAATATAGAGGTCCTTATTAAATAAGTCTCAGGCTAGCTGGGATTATCATGAATAACTGCTACAAATTTATCTTCAGCATAGATGCAACTGAGAAACCCTTTTTGTCACTACTGTAGTTTAAGGAATTTGGGCAGTCCAGTTACCTTGCATTAACCTGAGATGAAAAGAAACAGAATTTGGTGCTTTTGGACTTAGTGGGGTTTGAAAGTTAAAAATGTGAATGCTATAAAAAGTGGGCCCCATAATGTAATTTTAAACAATATGCATGGTCTTTTATGTTTATATACAACTGGCAAAAAATGCTAAGGACATCTCATGGATCCCTATACTCAGTTACTGTTGAGCAGAAAAGGAATTGAACATTGTTTAAGTTGATACCAGCTAGTTTATGCAGGTGTAAGCCAGGATTTTAAACAGGCAGCCATTTTAGCTGAAGTAGAGAAATAGGCTGTTTTTTCAAATGTACAGGTTTTTAATATGTTTGGGGGTCTTGACTTCTGTACTTAAAGGAAAGTTTTGAATCTCCAATCCTCATGTTTCTCAGAACCTTTCATTATAACTTGGAAAGAAGTAATCAGATTAGATGCTTTTGCTTAAGACTATTCTAAGAAGAACTTATTTTATTAAAACTTCATGGTGTTCAGCAGCAAAATATCTATTACAGGGTGAAATCAGTGTTGACTAATAACCATGTATACTGTATTCATATGTCTGTATAGCTTATTTGATAAGAGTAATTATGTTTGTTTATTGGAAATTAAATGTACATATTAGAAGGAAACCTCCCTTCAGGAAAAAAAACTGTTTTAATATATTAAAGAGCAGCAAGATGATGTGAGGAAGGTTTTAGCTTCCCACATATGTTTCTTTCAAGAAAACAGTGAATGCTGCTTTATTGGTGAAGTAAACAGATATGGGGGAAGAAACATATGGCTCTCCCGTCACATCCGGTTTGGCTCAGTAAAACCATATAGATACATATGCAATCAAGCTGGGGTTGAAAAGGAAATTTGTTTGAATAGTCAACAGTAAAAGCACTTCTCTAATCTCTCCAGAGTGCTATTATATTAATATTTTTAGGCTTGTAGAAATGTAATCTAAATATAAGAGGTCAGATATCTTCTTGAATCGTCAGTGTTCTCTTGCATCTATTGATGTTCAAAGGTGTTTGAAAGTTTTAGCTTTAATAAGTCAGTGTTTAAAAAGCTTGCAAGAACAGGAGGTAAAAGGAGGACATTTGCTTTGAAACAGTCAATTTAAAGCAATTTAAAGGAATATCACAGACCTGTGACATGACTACATTTTCTTTTAGGTAAATTGAAAAATAATGTAATGGTAAAACTTTTTGGGCTTTTCAGTATCAATATATAAGAGCATAAGAACACTACTGTTAGATAAGGACAGTAGTTCACTAATTCAGCTTTCTGTTCCATACAGAGGCCAAGAAAATGTGTGGAAGAAGCTCGTGAACATGGACATTAGCTTTAGTTCAGTCTTTCTTCTTGACAGCTGGAATTTGAGTCATGCTACCTCTTATTCAGGAGATAGTAAACAACCATCGCAGCTAGCATCTATTATAATTCAATCCCTCAGAAATTTGTCCAGTCCTTTTTCAAACTGGTGGCTTTCACCATATCTGATGATAGCAAATTCCACAGTTTGTTTATTATTATAAAAAAAGCATTTTTTTATATCAGTTGCCTGCATTTTCTTTCAGAAGATGATCACAAGTTCCTGTCTTCAATCCAGAAAGCTGTAGTTACTGTTACTAACTACTATTTAGCTATTTACTGGAACACCAAGATTTTTTTTCAGGATCAGCCATTTCTAGCTCAAATCCCATTAATGTATAAATGAAGTTTAGATCTTTTGTCCTGGTTTACATCACTATGTATTAATTAGTATTCAGCTGCATTTGGTAAGATCCATTTGGAGTTTTTTGCTTATTTCTTTCTGATTTTCTACCCGTAACAGCTTATTGGGTATGAACTTTTGGGTATGATTCTATTGATTTCTGCTTTCTGTTTCCTTTTCTTTAATCACTATTTCTGTAGAATTTCCAGCTTTCTTCCTTGCATAAAAAGTAAAAAACCGTTACTGTAGTATCATAGTAATAAAGAGAATGGTGAAATGTTTAGACTCTGCCAAGAAGCCTGTTGTTACTTGAGTTGTTGGTAGGTAAGTTTGTAACCACTGCAGTTTTGCCTTGTATATGTGAATGGTTAGCTGGGGGAGATGGGCAGCATACAAATTTAATAAATAAATAGCTCATACTTAGGATGGAATATAAAATTTATACAATATATTGCTGTGGATGATAAGTAAGAATACATTTTAACATAGGATTATTACCATTTTATATTGCTTATTACAGAACGATTTTTAAGGTAATATGATAATTGATTTTATGTTTACCAGAACCATTATTGTCTAGCTAGCGTGAGGATCAGTTGTTGTGCTGTTACCTATTGAGAACTTGTGAATGCTGTATGAATAATTGACTATAGGCCTGAATATATTAGATTATATATTAGCATGCACTTAGGTTTATTTTTACAAGATGCATAGTTTCTTAATTATAAATTTATGGCCAAGGTGCTTCCCTTAAGTAAAGTTGCATTTTCTGCCACATTATGAGAAAGTTGATAATTTTTAAATAATGTTGTCGATGTTTCTGTGAAGTTTATCAGTTTTGTATATACTTCAGAAGAAACTTACTACAGAGAAAGCTCTGAGATTTTCAAAACATGTCCTATCTATCTATCTATCTATCTATCTATCTATCTATCTATCTATCTATCATATTGATATGCCAGAATGTTCCCAACAAGTTTAGCCCATGGTAGTTTATATCAATATAAATAATTTAATTCAAGCAATAACATATAAAAAATAGTAACAAGAATTAAAAAGTTTTAGAACAATTAATAATGCCATAATAAAAATGCAATAAAAATACAAAGGCAAAAAATTGGCACCAATATTAAAAACTAAAGAGCAAATCAAAAGCATTGTCTTTATGGGGGAGAGGCTAAAGAATAAACATCAGTTTTCAATTTAAACATGCCACAGAAGAGGCAGATTGAATAGATTGGAGAACGGCATTCCAGAAAATCAGTGTCTCACTGAAAAAGCAAGGGAGGTTTTTTTCCAGGGCAGCACATAGAGCCAGCCTTTATCCAAAGAGTGCAGCTTCCAGGTTACTGTGTACGAAGGATGCCATTTCTCTAGGTAGATGCAGCCTGTTGTTCTAAGTTCATGACAATGCTTGAAATTCATGGGCCTTGCTTGGGTTCTTACTCTTCTTTCAGTTCCTCCTAATCTGATAATATCTTGCTACTACTTCCTCCAAAATATATGTTCTTAGTTTAACACACTAATTCTAATGAAGATGGATAAGGCTTAAATGAAAATAAAGAGTTTATGTGCCTATAGAATATAAGTAAATTAAATCCCGATATATTTTTATGCTGTTTCTTGCTAGGCTGCCTTCAGATTGGATTGTCTTGACTTTTTCATCTCTGAACTAGTTCCCCACAGTGAGTTGCCTGAAACAACAATTTCACCATTGGCATCTCAAATATTTAGTATTGGGTACATTTGTCTTTAAAAGTGTGTAGCATCAGAAGAAAGAAAGTGTCCTGCAATAGATACCCTGAAAAGAAAATGTTTTAGAGTCCTCCTATCTAACTCTATGTTAAGGGTACATTAAATACCTGGGATGTTTGTAGAAAGCTGCAACCTATTTCATTATATTTTACATTTATTTCCCTGATATAAATCTCAGTTTTTAACTTTACATTTTCAATCGTGTAGAAATTCATACCACATTTAAGATGAAGATTAATTGTCATACACGCCTGTGCATTTTGAAAAAAGGCAATTGAAGCTATGAAAAGTAGATGCTATTGTGCAGCAGTGTATATAACATTAGATTTCAAGGAATATTTGCTTGCTATAATGGCTAATAAGAAATTGCATGATTTTAATACAAGTGATGCTCTACAGATGGCTTAACTTTGTATATACAACATATCTGAGAATTTAGAGAACGCAAACTACAAATAAAGTAATGCTTTCATTGAATATAAATTCTTATGGATTGTTGTGGTTAAAATTGTACTGCTTTTAAGTTTTGCATTATCTAAAATACCCATATATAGATACTGCTTTAAGACTCCATAACTTTTAGTCAAACAGGGTGGTAATTGTATATCTTGAATTTCAGCTTTGCTACAGGTCTGTAGGACCCATTGAATGCTGCAGCCCAGTAGTAACTGAAGATGAAAGAAATATAACAGTATATCCTGTTTTACTCTTGAAATTATCAGTAGTTCAGCTTCTGATCCTGAACATTTGAAGTTCAGCAGATGCTGGATAAAGGGAATTGGAACATGCAGGAGTGTGCTGATTTACTTTTGTTTACTCATCCAGTTTACAAAAGTAAGCAACAATTAAAGTCAAAATGACAAGTAGGATGTGTGTGTGTGTGTGTATGTAGTGTTGATCATATAAGTTTCTTTAGCAGTTTTGGAAAAGAGTGAAAATTAAAATTCTAATTTATTAGAATTTTAAAATTAAAATTCTAATAAATACCTAGATAGTTTAGATGTTTCTTCAAAGTTTCCTTGTTCTGTTGACTTTGCTGAATTCAGAATAGGCTTATAAAATCATATGTAGATTTGAAAGTGATTTAAATCTGTTTGCCTAGCGATAAGTTGCCTTGGACAGAGCAAGGATTGTTTTCATAGTGGCTGATATAATGGCCTATGATTAGATCTCTTAAACTGCAATGATGCAGTAATTTCATATGCCTTTGACAATGCTTTAACTGCATTAGCAGCCCTAGATCTCAATGACTTCTTTCATAATCTGAGATGGGATTCTGCTGGAAGAATGTACAAAAATTATTTGTTTTCTAATAGAAAACCAATATAATATAAAACCCATAAATATGCATACAAGGTTGTAAAAAGATTAAAATATATGATTAATTGGAAAATATCAGTTATTAAAAATTAATATTTCATTGAGATAAACATTACTTTAATTGACCTATGCCAATCAAACTTCAAAAGGCTAATAATTTTATAGTTAGTTGCAGCAAAATATCTGTCACTTTTACTAGCTTTGTTATTTTAGAGAGCAGTTAGATAATACAGTAATATTTCTTAATTCAGAGTACAGATTGGAATATTACTGTATGATCTCTTGCATTAGGAATTTGAAATACTTTGGCATTGAAGTTGTAGAACTATTTCTAAATGTTTGGATTTTTTATCTCTAATCTGAAAGGTTAAGAATTATTATGTTTTTGTTTATGTAAGGGTGGACTCTTAAAGGATCTAAGTTGATCCTTAAGAAGTGGAAAATGCCAATTTATTTAGTAACTATAATTTTCTGAATGTTGCTCCTGGGAGTACAGTATAGCACTTTTAACTCAATAACAATTTATGTGATAGCTTTGCTCACATACAGATACACAGTAGATCACCGCATATCACAAGCAGTCAAGCTGCCTGTTCAGAGGTAAATAACTCAGAAATAGAACACTTAAAAAAATTTAGACCTCCAGGGACTGTAAAGGTTTAAATGCACTAACAGCTTAAGGTTTACAGCAAATATGTCTTTTTTAAGGGAAAAATGGTAGGGTCCTCAAAATGGGATTAGGCTACAAAACAGAGCTAATATTAAATAAAAATCATGAGGGATGATTTTTGAGAGAAGAGAATACTAACCATTGGTTTTTTAGAGAATTAACTCTATCAATATTCCCCATTCTGGGTGTACAGACTTGAGTCATAGAATTTTCACATAGGGTAGCTGCTATTGAGAATTCTGGGAGTTGAAGACTGAAAGGTGGGGTGTCCTGATTCAGTGAGTTTCTGAACAAATAGATTTTGAGGCTGGACTCCAGATGAGTTACTTGCTTTATTCTGAATAATAATAAAACTTAAAGGGGGGTCTTGCCAAATTGATTAAAACATCTGTTTGATGAGACCTATATTACAAAAGACAAATAAGCTCGAAAAGAAAAAAAAAAGATACCATAAGGGAATGTTCCAACTAGTTGATCCATTTTTGAAGATGCAAAGCTTCTGGATTGAGCTGTTTTTCCCATCAAGATTCTGAACTGGACAGTTTTCAAGAGCTCTGGTAGATTGGCTGGATTGCAGTTTAGCAGTTGGGCAGATTTATAAATATGCTGACCCTTGTGCAGCAGCACTCCTGATCTGTCAAGGGAACGAGCAGACTTAGTCAGTGGAAGAGATACGTAAGTAGGTTCTTTTTTCTCAGTTTCTCTGCAGGAAGTCATTCTTATTAGGAATCTCCCAAGCCTCTGGCCCAGATGGTCTTTTGAAACAAAATGGATCATTGGGCAAGATTTCAAGGTAATGAGAATGGGAAAATATATAAAGACATGAGAATAACGAGTTGATATATTTTTCCCTTCACAGTATAGCCTTTGAAAGTTATCCTCAAACCTAATATGCCCCCTGTAAATTGGAACAAATATTGGTCAAGATTGTTGAGATAGCATGCTGAAGATTGTAAGCACTTTGCAGTTTAAAAGTGGTATATTAATGGTTTATAAATTCCTTTTCACTGCAGTTGCATTTTGTGAAATTAAATTTTGCATTCTGGGTTAAGGAATGGTTAAGGAATTGTAGATTATTTAAAAAAAAAAACTAAATGCATATAAAAAAACCTTGTAAGCATTTTTGCTTGTCTTTTGAGATCTCAGGAACAAAAATAGATTGCTCTGATGAATTCTGGTTAAGTCAGTCTGTTTTCGAAATAGAATCTTCTGGTTAACTATCTCTTTGTATTCATATACTGTTTAATCATAATCTGAATCGCAAAACTGTATACTGTGAGAAGAAAGGGCATTCATATATTCTTTTTGAAAGTTGTACTGATCTAAAAACTGTTTCTGTTACAGTGCATTAAAGGTGTACTCCAAAACCCAGTCACACTGCAAATAATTACTTGTGCCTACTATTGGTAATTAAAAAAAAAAAACTTTCTTGTCTTTATTGAGTATGAAAATATTTCCTTTTCAGATGAAATCATCAGAGAGAAAACCACAGAACGAGATAAGGAAAAGCAGAAAGAAAAGAAGAAGCACAGATTAATGTCTGAAATAAAAAAAGAGAACGGAGAAATGAAATTATTTCAGAAAGGTGAGCTAGTATTCATCACATATGATTATGGTATATACATGAAATAAGATTTTTAAATAATTATGTACTTAAATATTTACAATTCTGATTAGTTCAAGCTTCACTTAATATTAGGAGGCAGTATGACCTGTTTGATTTTCATTTCAGTTTTGTACTTAAGGGAAAGGGTATTGTGCTTATCTAGTTACAGGTCTGAAAGACATTACTTACAAATAGTAATTTGAATACCAAATCAGTTATGCTTTATGTGAGAATTAAAGTCAACCACACAGTTTTTGTGCCTGAAATTTGAATTTGTAGTGTATTTCTAGGATTCCACTCTTACACAGCACAAAAATATTTGTAGCAATACTAAAAATGGGTTACTGAATACAGATTTTTTTTCATTCAAATAGAAATAATTCTGTTAATTAATGGAAGTGCTAATAAATAGATAACTCATCCTGGCTGGCATCCAATAACTACTGTGGCTCTTGTAAGAAGGTTTTACTTATCTTCCCTCCTGATAGTGTTAAAAACAACCTGTCATAAGAATTTTTTCTCAGTTTCTAGGCTAGTTTAACATACTGTGTTGTCCTTAATGTTTCATGGAACCATTTTTATTAATTTATGTAGATTTTGGCATCACACAACTCTGAGGGCTCAAAATATAAGAACTAAATACAAAAAGATAGTAAACATACAATAAGGGAAGTAACAAAGGAATTAACAGAATGGCAATCTGGACAACTCGCATCAGAACAAACATACAGTGGGGCAAAAAAGTATTTAGTCAGCCACCAATTGTGCAAGTTCTCCCACTTAAAAAGATGAGAGAGGCCTGTAATTTTCATCATAGGTATACCTCAACTATGACAATGTGATTTTCTGGATTTTTTTTCTCATTTTGTCTCTCATAGTTGAGGTATACCTATGATGAAAATTACAGGCCTCTCTCATCTTTTTAAGTGGGAGAACTTGCACAATTGGTGGCTGACTAAATACTTTTTTGCCCAATGTGATTTTCTGGATTTTTTTTCTCATTTTGTCTCTCATAGTTGAGGTATACCTATGATGAAAATTACAGGCCTCTCTCATCTTTTTAAGTGGGAGAACTTGCACAATTGGTGGCTGACTAAATACTTTTTTGCCCAATGTGATTTTCTGGATTTTTTTTCTCATTTTGTCTCTCATAGTTGAGGTATACCTATGATGAAAATTACAGGCCTCTCTCATCTTTTTAAGTGGGAGAACTTGCACAATTGGTGGCTGACTAAATACTTTTTTGCCCAATGTGATTTTCTGGATTTTTTTTCTCATTTTGTCTCTCATAGTTGAGGTATACCTATGATGAAAATTACAGGCCTCTCTCATCTTTTTAAGTGGGAGAACTTGCACAATTGGTGGCTGACTAAATACTTTTTTGCCCAATGTGATTTTCTGGATTTTTTTTCTCATTTTGTCTCTCATAGTTGAGGTATACCTATGATGAAAATTACAGGCCTCTCTCATCTTTTTAAGTGGGAGAACTTGCACAATTGGTGGCTGACTAAATACTTTTTTGCCCAATGTGATTTTCTGGATTTTTTTTCTCATTTTGTCTCTCATAGTTGAGGTATACCTATGATGAAAATTACAGGCCTCTCTCATCTTTTTAAGTGGGAGAACTTGCACAATTGGTGGCTGACTAAATACTTTTTTGCCCAATGTGATTTTCTGGATTTTTTTTCTCATTTTGTCTCTCATAGTTGAGGTATACCTATGATGAAAATTACAGGCCTCTCTCATCTTTTTAAGTGGGAGAACTTGCACAATTGGTGGCTGACTAAATACTTTTTTGCCCAATGTGATTTTCTGGATTTTTTTTCTCATTTTGTCTCTCATAGTTGAGGTATACCTATGATGAAAATTACAGGCCTCTCTCATCTTTTTAAGTGGGAGAACTTGCACAATTGGTGGCTGACTAAATACTTTTTTGCCCCACTGTACATACATATTGATGGACGCCTCTAAAAATGGGATTCCATCCTCTCTACCACAATTTACAGCTCTCTTACTATCCTCTTTTGATTTAACATTGTGAGGTTTGATTCTGAATTAGTAATTTCATTTCTGGCTTCTCTGAACAAATATGGTAAGTCAGTCTGGATGATTAATACAATAGAAACAATGGTTAATTCTACCATTTTACATATCCTTTATTCTTGTTCTTGCCTTTAAACAGAGTGTGAGGTTTATTTGAATGCTTGCTGAACCCAGAATAGTTAGCATGAGCTAGCGCTAATGACTAATCTTGTTTCAAAACTGCAAAATTGTAATATATTTTAAGAAAACATCAGTAGTTTCATAGTGTTGGTGGGTATTTTTCTCACTGATAGAGTCAGTGGTCTGTCCACGTCCTGATATCTCTATCAATCACATGGGTGACTGGCAGAGTTATCCAGTATTCTTTCCAAAGCTCTTTTTGCTTTCTGTGGAATTGGCTTCAGTAAAAATTCTTGACTGAGGTTTAGAGCATAAATGGTGGAAAATTTGGGCTGAGTCTGATCAATCACAAATAAATATCTACTTTAGGACCTTTTCTGTGCTGTTGATGGTGGGAAAACCTTCTTCTGTAGGATTGCTTGATGCTGTTCAAGGACTGCTCTGGATATAAACTGGCCAGGGTAAAGATGGCTTTGAAGAAACATGTTTGAACCATTAAGTATAGCACTTAAAAGATAACATTGGTAACTGCTGCTCTGAGTCAGATGCCGTAGTTATGACAGATTCCATTCCAGTAGTTGAGCCCTATTTGAGCAATTGTCTCTAGATGCTTTGAATAAACTGTTTTGCTTATATAATGGGTGGACATTATGCATTTTCTTTGTACTTCTCAACAGTTTTTATTATTAACAGTTAAGAATGCTTCTGTTCTGCCTCATTGGCCTTGTGTAAGGGTACTATTGTGCTATATTTCGTATTTTAGCAAGCTTTTCAGGGTGCTGTGAAGTTAAACAGAGGCTTACAATACTCAGTGTATTACTTGATTAACTCTGGGTATGTTTCTAATATATGTGTTCCTGGGATAATTATATAAGTCAGATGACAGCTTGGTGGCCAAGAGGTTCAATGTGCACAGGGAAGGATTTGGAGTGGGGAGATGCTATATTTTTGAATTGCCTATTTTAGGATTTAAACAACAGTGATCATGCGTCTCCCAGTTGAAAATGATGAGAAATGGTGCTGTCAGAGGGGCCTCTGAGGGCTAAAAAAGGGAACTTCAGGGAGTCACAAATTGCCTATCCCAAGTTCAAGTTCTAAACCAGTGTAGGGAGTAAGGAAGAAGACCTTAATGATATGCAGAAGCTGTTGCTTAATCAAAAGGGGTTGAAGCACTTTTAAAGTCCAGAATACCAGATAATATTCAGAAATGGCTCAAACAGATGTCTCCCTAATTCAGCGAACTATAGGAAGGAGGAGGAGGCACAGCCCAATAGGCTTGCAAGATAGCCAGTCTCAATAAAAGTAGTAGCCTTCCAGTGGAATTGATTTCCTGGTCTGGTCTATCTTAGGGCCTGCAAGCAACTTTGAATTATGATGAATAGATTGAAGTTTGATCTGAATAACCATGGTATTTGTCTTTGCTTCTGATCTAAATACAGGGCAGGTTCATAGCAGGAAAGGCAGTCCCTTAGGCCATAAAGCCATTTAGGACTTGCAAAGCCAGTGCCAACATCTTACAGAACTTGGTAGGTAATTGGCAGTTGTAATGCATGCCAGCTTAGTGCTTTCATTCAGGATTAAATCCTGATAATGGCTGTTTTGCCAACAACTGACCTGGCATTAGAAGGCAGAACTTTGAGGTTGTAGGGCCCACCTTTGCTGAACCCTTGAGTTCCTTGTTTAGATTGTAACTTGAAAGAAGAGAGATCAACTAACAGCCTACCTTTCTTACCCTGCAGCAGCCAGGTAGCAGCCTCCTATCATATATCCTTATGCCAACTACAACATCAGAATTTACTTCCAGGACATGCTCCATTCCCCTAGGGCTTTCATATCTGGAGTGCAAAACTCCAGATGACCATTAGATGGCAGCATGTTTTCTGTATTGCTTGGTTATCATTGGCTGATTATCCTGATTTTCCACTTTCTCCAATCTCCTTCATATATCTCTAAAACAAGATAATGATCCATAAAACAAGAACATTGAAGCAACTTCTCCCATGCTATAATCCCAATTCACTGCCGTTGTATCTGCATAAAGACAAACAGAATGGCCTACCCAAGGAATCATTGTAAGGGCTTTCCAGAAGAGGCTTCTCCTTTGACAGCAACCTCACTGCTTCAGGAAGTCCAGGAAGCAGATGGTGTAATTTTTGCAGAGTGGCTTCAGCTAGGCAAAACTTAAGCAATTCAGGTCCTGCAAAGAAAGTGACAAGCAGCTGTTATCTTTGCAGTTTCTCTCCAAATAGTTGCTGAATGCTGATGATATTACTGTTATCTGGCCTGCAGAACTCCAGATGACTACTTGATGGTAGCAAAGAGATACAGAAAACCTTAACTTTTTGCTACCATCTAGTGGTCATTAGAATATTTATTTAATCATTCATTTTATTATGCTACTCTGACTTCAAGCAGCTTACAGACCTCTGCAACAGTAAAAAGATAAACTAGAAAATAATGTATCAGGAAGATTTCCTAGTGCTGAGGAATAGCTGTAACCCATATACACAGTTCCCCCCCCCCCCCTCCCCCCCCCACCACCAGGGAGATGAGAATAATCCCTCAGAGTCCAAAGGCTCACTGAAGCAGCCAGGTCTTAATGGCAGGTTAACAGGGTTGTGTCCTGTCTGCCTTCAGGGGGATACTATTCTGGGGAAGGGGGTGGGCAGCTTAGAAGGCTTGACCCCAGGATCCCTGCAGGTAATGTTTCTCTTTGGGTAGGGGTCCAGAGGGAGCCTTCTCTCCCAGATCTTTTTGCAGCCCCGACCTGGTAGCTTAACTATGTTAATGATTGAAGGTAAAACTGATATTGCTGTTCTTAGGATTCATGTGTAGTGTATTTATTATACTTTAGAACTTAAAAAGGTTTACTTGGCATATTATTACATGGGATTATAAATCAATTTTTCATCTTCTTGTATGTCCAGCTTTTGATAAATTAAAGCAAACCTTTTCTTCTTTTAATAGATGTAAAAGAAAAACCAAAAAGCAATGCAGATGATCTACAGATTAAAAAAGTAAAGAAGAAAAAGAAAAAGAAACATAAAGAGTGTGAAAAACGGAAGCGTCCAAAAATGTACAGTAAATCTATTCAAACCATCTGCTCAGGATTGCTTTCCGATTTTGAGGATCAAGACGCCAAAGGCATTGTTGATAATCATCTTAAAGATTTCAGTGAGAAAAATAAGAATCCCAAGAAGGACTCTGAGTACAAGATACCAGAGAACAGTGAGTTTCCATTTGTCTCGTTAAAGGAGCCACGGGTTCAGAATAAACTCAAAAGGTTGGACGTGTTGGAGTTCAAACAGTTCATTCATGTTGAGCACCAGCCTAATGGAGGTGCCTCAGTTATACATGCCTACAGTAATGAACTCTCCCACTTATCTCCTGTGGAGATGGAGAGATTTGCAGAAGAATTTGTGGGTTTGGTTTTTAGTGAAAAGGAAAACTGTGCAGCTTACTATGTAATGGGAATTGTTCATGGGGCAGCTACTTATTTACCTGACTTTTTAGACTACTTTTCATTTAATTTTCCCAATTCACCAGTGAAAATGGAGATTTTGGGAAAGAAAGATATAGAGACTACGACTATGTCCAATTTTCATGCTCAGGTAAGAGGTTATCTTTCATATTTCAAAAACATTTTATTTCATATTATATGTTCCAGTTGTTACTCCTTTTTTCTAAAAAAAATTAAATTTGTTAAATGAGACCGTGAGCTTTCTAAAGAAAATACTAAATGCTAGTGCTTTTTCTCTTTATACAGTGGTATGTAGAGAACAAAAATCACAGCAGTAATTTCCAGTTAGATTGAAACATTCAACTATGTTTGATAAGCCAAGTAAAAGCTCCTGTGAATACCTACTCACAGATTAGATTGCCTGCATAATTCATTGAGAAATTATGCCTTCTATTCCTAATTGGGTCTGGAATAGGAGGTGCTAGTTTTTTAGTTTCTAGATATGTGTGGATCATTCTACTTCTATTAATACTGATAGACAAACAGAAGAATAGAAACAATAGGGGAAAGACAATTCTTACAAGTGTTTAATGAGAAACAAAGGTCACTTTGTCTAAATGTGAAATGGCTGCAGTCTTGTATCTGCATATCTGGAAATCAGCATCACTAGACGCAGTGAAGCCTTTAGACGCTTTGATGTGTGCTTGTGTTACGGTAACTGAAACAAAAGAAATATAATATATCCAACCCTTCCAATGAAAAATTGGAATAATTCATGTTTGTTTCATACCTTTAAATGGATATTGGAAACACTTATAATTTCTGGTTTTAAACTTTGTGTAGTTTAGAAAATAGAAGATTATTTTCAATTTTTTCACATATTAGTGTTTGTCACTTGCCTGTAAATAAACACCCAGCAGTTTTTTGCTTGATTCAAAGAATGTGCAGGAGTTTAAAGCAAAATGGAAATGAAATAGTGTGTGATATAAAGTCCTTCTTCTCACGTTGCAGAAGCCGTATGCTTTTCGGATGTTTGAATTGTCCTCTTGGGGCATATATCTGACACTGTTGTTCTGAAGCATTCAAAAGAATGATGCTAAGAGTGTTCCTCCTTTAGTAATCATTCCATGGAAAGTACAGTGTTATGACCAACACGTTTAATTGGATCTGAGATTTACAGATTTTCTGTATTTAGGGTGGTGGAATGTGGCTTTTGCCCACACACAAATACACAGAGATACCTAGATCTAAGTATACCCCATATACCCATTTATAGGACAAGGAATCCCTAGGATTGGGTTCAGCTGCACTTGGAATCCTTAGGTTGAAAAGGTGGGAAAGCAAGGTGCTGGATAGTACTTTTGCCTGTTTTTATCATTTTATTTCAGTCTGCTCTTTTTCTGGTAGAAGGACACTGCCTCAAATTTATTTATTTGTTTGCTTGTTTATTTATTTATTTAATTAATGTAGCCACCCATCTCACAAAATAAGTGATTCTGGGCAGTGTACATAGAACAAAGCTTAAAAAACAATAATTAATGAATAACAAAAACTGATTATTAAAAAAGCATTCAAAACTATAAAACACAGCTAAAAAGAAATAATGGGTGAAAGGATGTTAATAATAACAGTGGATCCACCTCATTAGTTCACCAGTTCCCTGGGGTCCCCAGGCCTGATGGCACAACCAGGTCTTGAGAGACCTTCGGAAAGTCAAGAGCAATGGTGCCAGCCTCACCTTGGGGGGCGGGGAGGATATTTCACAACATGGGTGCCGCAGCCGAGAAGGCCTACCGCCTAGGGCCCCCCAGATGTAGCTCCCTAAATAACGGAACCCATAGCATGTCCTCTCTCTAGATCTAGTGGGACAGGCAGATGTGATTGCAGAGGGGTGGTCCCTCAAATAACCCAGTCCCATGCCATGTAGGGCTTTAAAGGTCAAAGCCAGCACCTTGAATTGGACCTGGAACAGACCGGTAACCAGTGCAGCTTGCAGAGCTGTAATGTTTGTTCTGTGAGAAACACACATTAACTGCCTGTGCCACTGCATGTTGCACCAGCTGAAGTTTCTGGATATCTCTGGATATCTTCAAGAGCAGCCCCATGTAGAACGCATTACAGTATTCCAACCAGGAGGTGACTAAGGCATGAGTGTGAATGAGACCCCTCGATCTAGGAATGGGTGCAACTGGCACACAATCCGAAGTTGTGCGAAGGCCCTCCTAGCCACAGCTTTCACCTGCTCATCAAGCAGGAGTCGTGAATCCAGGAAGACCCCCAGATTGCGCATGGGGTCTGTTTGGGGCAGTGTAACTCAACCCAGCACCAGTCAACATCATAATTACATTTTTATACATAATCTGAACATAAGAAATACCTTAAACTGCAATTTGAAGAGTGGCATCAAAGAAGCAAGTTTAATAACCAACTAAGCCATTTAAAGCCTGCAAAATAAAATATCTGGGCTGCTCATCTACAAAGTATCAAAAACAGGACAAAGTCAAACTGAAGTGGTGCCATAAGAAAAACAGTGTAGTGTCACCATTTAGCGTGCCTTTCTTCATAAAGAACAATTTTTCTGATGATGGCCCAAGCTGTCAGGGCAGAATTTTGGGGGATAGATGGTCTTTCCAATATTCTTATCCCAAGCAATTTAAGGTTTATATTAGTTATATCCAGCACTTTGAATTGGACCTGAAAGCTATCCAATAGCAAGCTCTAAAAAATAGTTGGGTCACCACATTTTGTACTATTCTACTTTCTGGATACTCTTCAACGAGAGTTTCATGTAGAGTATGTTACAGTAATTTAATCTGGATATGAAATTAGACAATTTTCCCAAACCTTGGAAAATTCTTGGCAATGGTCATGCTGATGGGAGATTTCTGAAATTCCATACATGTGAAAATGACTCAGTTGGAGGAAGCTGACCTAAGGTATGTAAAGATACACCCAGATAGATATTTTATAGGAAAGGATGCAACTGGTGCAGTGGCTGAATCTGACAATGGCATTCATAGTCCCAGCAGCTACCTGGAACTATGAATAACATACTGGAATTGCAAACCTCATCCTTCACAGGGACTATAACCCCAAGGAGAATAAGTGGTCTTTCCCTATATATTACCACCTGGTCTGTTGATTTTCTGTTTTGTCAGAATCTTAGCTTCTTTATTTACATCCAGCCCATCTCTAGAATTAGTGATACTTGGTATTGTTTGGAAAAAATGAACAAATTGGGATGACTTTCCTAAAGTTTTAGTATGGATCCTGAATTATGTATGGCAGAAAACGTTTGTAGAATCTTATCTCAGGCTATACATTGTGGTTTATTTTGGGGAACTAGCTCAAAACTGAAGTCATTTGAAGTTGATTTACATATACAGTGGTACCTCGGGATATGAACGCCTCTACTAACGAACTTTTTGGGTTACGACCAGCTCCAGCCGCAAAAATTTACCTCGATGTGCGAACTCCGCCTCGGGG